CTGGAAGATGAAAAAAAAATACCTTCCACAAATATTACTGATCACAGCTCTTAAATGTGTCACAGTTAAATGGTTGAAGGCCGACCCGCCAGCGTAGAAAATGTGGATTGAAAAGGTCTGAGAAATCTACCATATGGAACAAATAACTTATTGCATGAGGCTTTAAAAAAGATGTTAATAGTTGGAAACTGACCATCTCTTATAGTTCTCCCTTATCTTTATGTATATATATATTTATTTATTAATTCTTATTTCACTCCTTTATATCCATTTGTGCTGCTTATTAATTTACAAACTATATATATATATATATATATATATATATATATATATATATAAAACTATATATATATATATATATATATATATATATATATATATATTTGTATGTTACTCATGTTTAATCATGTAACCTACTTGACTCGTAAGTTTAACCTGATGTTTATACTTTCAAAATTGTTTCAAGAATATTGTAAGTTAAAAACAGCAAATTAAATGTGGGCTTGTATGTATACGTCTATGTAAGTTGCAAAAATTGAAATAAAAATTAAGTCATTAATTGAGTAATTAGTTTTTTTATTCCAAAGCTTAAGGATTTTAGTGTGATAGATATTTCTCAGTTAGATGAAGAGCTTTGCTGTGAAGGATGAAGCTGTGACCACTAGGAGAGTTTTCCATCGCTGCTGTTAGTTCTGATACACAGCTCACTGCTGCCATCTAGTGTCAACAGCAATAAGGCTGTGGGGAAGCATCAGATGCAGACAGAAACACATCAGCATGAAGTAGTGAAGGTTTGAGAATAACTCCTGTCAGTGCATCTTCACACCCAGCAGTACTTTACAGGCAGCAAAGAACGAACGGATACCCAGAAGAGACCCAACCAAGAATGAATCTTTCTTTTTGATAGAAAATTACTTTCCATCTAAACTGATGGACTGTCTCAATTTTTAAGGTTTTTATACATCTTTCAGAAAAAACTAACCTGACTGTAGCTGAATTTTACCAGCAAAATGCATTGATTAATTATAAAGTGGGAGGAGGTTCTTTTAATCTTTAAAAATCTAGACCTAGAAACTTCAGTATCAGGGTCTGATTTGTTACTTTGACACAAAGCGGAGCAATGAGGAGCTTTTCTCACAGGCTCTATCCAGGCCGGTCGCTTCAGCTGCAGAGCCGTGTTTAACTAACGTGTTGTCGGAAAATTTTGATTTCTCTTATTTCATATATAGATCTATGCTATTTACTCACTATAAATTTTTTTCACTAAGCCTGTTTCACTTGCAAGGCCATAACATTCCCCTGCGTGAGGGTGTTTGTAGGCAATGCATACTTATTCCCACAACAAGCAAGTTCTTTCTCAAGGTTTATTCATAACATGTTACTGTTTTCCCAAAGTGTCTGTAATTTGTTTTGACCCTGACTACTTTCCATCA